AGTTTAATTGAGTTATTATGTCATTAGTTTATAATTATTTTATTTTATATTATTTTGTTTTGTTTTCTTTTTAGGTTTGGCGCAGCAGTAAGAAAAAGGAAAAAGAAAGGGATTTTATTAATTTTGGGTTGTTTTTGTTTTAACTTAGGGGGAACGGCAGAACAAAAAAACGAAGGGAACGAAGAAAAGAATTGGAGGAAGAAAAGGAAGTCCAGGGTGCGCAGCAGCTTGGGCGAGGAGAAATTACAGCAGAAAGGGTTCTTCGAATGGAATTTTGAGCTTCAACCGCAGCTATCTCCTTAGGCTTGAATTACTATTCTTTGCATTCTCTTGAATAATTTATACATTTATTATGATTCTTGGCTAGAACTCTTAATTAGGGTTTTGGATTAGCCTTGATTAGATTAATTGACTATTTTTCATGTGTTGATTCTTTCAATTTCAATTTAATAATTGAACTTGTTTATATTTATTTTATGTATTTTAATTGTGGATTGTGTGACTGGCCATTGCATAATTCTAATATTAGGGTTCATAAGAAGAACTGACAGGTGAATTATGAACCTAGAACTTGCAAGATAAACACAATTGACCTAAACTAGACATAGCTTTAGGTATTTGTGGTGAAATTTGATTGTTGCTTAATGGGTTTAATTAATGTTGGTGAGATATCGACGGATGATCACAGTTAATTGGACACAACCTAGTAGCTCGACGAAGTATTAGGATATATTGGAAGCAATCATCACTATAGTCAGAAGAATCAATACTTAGGAAAGTTAGTTAATTATCTAATAGGTGAACCCCAAATCCCTAGTCTTTTCTTAATTGGAATTTTTCTTAACTTTAGATTCATAATTATTCTTTTTAATTACATTAATACTATTTATTTGTATTTTTCCTTATCATCAAAATTGATTATTCAAGATAACAGTTAATAGTGTTCTTCGTGGGATCGAACCTGGAATACTCCAGGAATTTATACTGTGATTGACTCTGTGCGCTTGCATATTATAGCAATCATCAACCTGCAGCCCAATCCGTGTCTGATTCACAACCTATCTCCACCTCCGACACGTCTCAACCGTTGCATAATGTTCGTCGTTCCACCCGGGAGCGTCGTCCTAATCCCCGATATTCCGATTATGTCATTAATCAAGCCACTTCCCATCCCTTGCCTCCCACTTTAGAACCTTCTGCCGTCGCCCAGGCTCTTAAAGACGCTCGGTGGAGGAAAGCAATGGATGAGGAGTTCGAAGCGCTGCAACGTAACAACATGTGGCAATTGGTTCCCCGTGGCGCAGCTGTTCCAATTGGCTGCAAATGGGTCTTCCGTGTTAAGCGCAAATCGGATGGATCGGTTGATCGTTTTAAAGCGCGACTTGTCGCTAAGGGGTTCTTGCAGACTACTGGACGGGCTTATTTTGAGACATATAGTCCGGTTATGAAACCGGTCACGATCCGTATTGTTCTAACCATTGCTTTGAGTAATCGCTGGGGTCTGCGCCAGCTAGATTTCAATAATGCGTTCCTTAATGGAACATTGCACGGGGAGGTGTTTATGGAGCAGCCTCCCGGGTTTTTTGATCCGTCATTTCCATCTCATGTATGCAAACTGATCAAAGCCTTATATGGTCTTAAACAGGCTCCCAGGGCTTGGTACTTAGAACTTTCCCAGTTCTTGTTGCGTTGTGGGGTTTTGAAGTCACAGGCAGATGCGTCTTTGTTTGTTTATTCTGCTAATGATATTATTGTTTATTTCCTGGTGTATGTCGATGATATTATCCTAACAGGAAACAATGTTGCATGACTTGACAAGTTTGTTGGGACTCTGTCAGCTCAGTTTGCTCTTAAGGACCTGGGTCCCTTGCATCATTTCTTGGGTATTGAAGTAGTCTCGACTCTTAATGGCATGTTCCTGTCTCAGAGTCAATATATCACAGATCTTCTGGTTCGGTTTAAGATGGATGGTGCAAAGTCTGTTTCGACACCATTGGCTACTATGGGCAAGTTACTACCTGCGCAGTCTGGTAGTGTTGCGGTGGATGTCACTCAATTTCGGCGTCTCCTTGGTGCATTGCAGTACTTGGTCATCACTAGGCCAGATGTATCCTATGCAGTTAATCGTCTCTCGCAGTTCATGCATTCACCAACAGAGCTGCATTGGCAGGCGGCCAAACGGTTGCTACGTTATCTAAAAGGAACAGTTTGTCATGGGCTGTTTCTCCGCACTGGGCAACCACTGTCACTGAGTGTTTATACAGATGCTGATTGGGGCGGTTGCACTACCGATGACCGTTCCACCACCGCATACTTGTTATATCTTGGTGCTAATCTTGTTTCTTGGAAGTCTACCCGCCAGAAGTCCGTGTCACGCTCGTCGACGGAATCTGAATATCGAGCCTTGGCGAATGCTGCTGCAGAGGTCTTGTGGATAAAGAATCTGCTTCACGAGTTGCGGGTGCAACTAGTGAAACCACCAGTTATGTTCTGTGACAACCTTAGTGCGACATATGTGTGCAGAAATCCGGTTTTCCATTCACGTATGAAGCATCTGGCGCTGGACTATTTCTTTGTTCGTGACTTAGTCTCTAATGGTTCACTGGTAGTGCGGCACATTCCTTCGTCAGCTCAGCTAGCTGACTTCCTCACAAAGCCGTTGGGCCGCTCTTTGTTTCTTCTATTCCGTTCCAAGATTGGAGTCTCTGACGGATCCTCAATCTTGCGGGGGCGTGTTAAGGATATGTGTGGCTGACATTTTATCTCTTTATATTTGTGGTAGTTATGTTCCTGTAGAATAGGTGTGTTGAACAAGTTGTTACAACCTCCTACTATTCTCCCTCTCTTGTACACTATTTATAGCTCTTTATTTTACATCAATAAAGCACAGTTTATAATCTTTACAGTACCAACATCATTAATGGGGTAATGATTCTACAGTTTGGGAGGAACTGCAGGAGGATTGGATGGTGGTTCACATAGATGCCGCATTCACCTCTCCCTAGCTACTTACTAGGTGTGGGGGTGTTATACGCAACAAAAAGGCGACTAGGTTGGAGGGTTTAGATGTTCCACGAGCGAAGGCTAATCATGCGACCGAATGAGAAGCTTAGACAAAAGCCGACAACCCCCACACTGTCGTTCCAGCATGCCAGAGCAGCAGTTAGTTCCCCTTGCTTCTTTTTTTACGCTAGCTACGTTCCAGCAAAGGATGTGTCTTTTGGTGCAGTCCTGCTCTCGGCCGGAGGTGAGTTCATCACAGCCATGAACGATCGTCTTCCATTTTGCACCAATGCTCTCATGGCGGAATCCCTTGCTTGCAAATTAAAGAGGCTCTCTCATCGTTGAAAGATCGTGGTGTTGGTAGCGTTGCCTTACACAAGGATTGTTTGAACTTGCACCTTTATATTAGTCGCTCGGAAGCCAGACCCGGGTCATACGTGGGCGTGGGCATTTGATGATTGTTTAAACCTTATGGCTTCGTTTCCAGTTTGTTCTTTACTCTTAGTTGCTAGACATTTTAATTCAATTGCTCATGCCTTAGCTGCTAGAGCCTCTCGACAGGTTAGTTCTCTGTATTGGGATTCTGTCCCTCTAGACTTTATTTTTGATTTGTTGCAGTAATCTATTTCAACCATTTTTATGTTTTCAAAAAATTAAGATTTATGTTTTCAAAAAATTAAGATTTATGTTTATGAACATATATAACAAATATTATGAACATATATAGTACATGATATTGCTATTAGACATAATGCATTAGTTGACACTTAATATAAAATAGCATCGTTTTAGACTAAGATCTATCATACAAGGTGGATCATAATCCACGATATAATTTACCATGTGTGGATATATTAACGTGAATATACTTTAACAACAAATTAAAAGAAAAGCGGCTCTCTCTCTAGGTTTCCTTAGAGAGTTTTCTCCTAGTCTTTTCTAGGGTTTTTTTCCAGTGTTTTTTGTCATTCCTTTTCGTTCTGCCCTTTGTGTTACATCGGGGTCCATGGATGTCGAGCAATTACAGAAGAGCTGGGCTGATCTTGCGCTGGAGGAGGAGGAGAATGGGGGTTTGGATGCCCCAGTCCAGGATGGTGCGGGTAGTAGTGCCACACGGTATGATCTGGTTGGGCATTTCTTAGCCACGCGACAGATAAAATTTGAACAGATGCAGCAGGTGATAGCATCCGTGTGGAAACCTATGATGGGGGTCAGAGTCCTCCAAATTAATGAAAACTTGTTCCTGTTCCAGTTTCCACATCGTAAGGCTTGCAGCGGGTAATCGACGATGGTCCGTGGTCTTTTGAAAATAACACACTCGTCTGTAAGGAGATCACGTCCGAAATTCGTCCGGAGGAGGTTGTGTTGGACACGGTAGATTTTTGGCTCCAGGTTCACGATCTGCCGGGCCGCCATGCAACGACAGAATTCCTGATGCAGATTGCGAACCATGTTGGCACTTTCATAGCCCTAGATCAAAACAATTTTGGAGGCAATTGGCGGAGTTTCTTTAGAGTTCGGGTCGCTGTGAAGGTGGCCGAGCCCTTAAAGAGGCGGATGAAAGTGCGGCAGCGTGATGGATCTTTTACGTGGATAATGTTCAAGTATGAGAGGTTGACAACATTTTGCTTCTGCTGCGGTCTCCTTGGCCACTCGGAGAAGTTTTGTAAGAAAGCTTACAGTGAGAACATATTGCCCGCAGATTATCCCTATGGGGGTTGGTTGAGGGCTGGTGGTAGACGTCAGCAGCAGCAGGTAGGGGCCTAGTGGTTATTGGTTGATCTACCCACTGAGCCGGCTTTTGTGGCAGGGACGGTATATGTGCCAAATGTGACCCCCGAACAAACTGAAGATGCGGTAGTGTTGCACGGAGAGTTGAAGCGGCGTCGGGAGGAATCCGTGCAGGGTGGTCAAAACGGTTTAGGGGATTCTGATATGACTGAGGCAGCAGTGAACAACATTTCGGTGGGTCTGGGAAGTCAGGCCCGCCATCTAAGATGAGCGTGTTAAGCTGGAACTGTCGGGGGTTGGGCAGCAAGCCGACAGTTCGTGAGCTACTGAGCTTGGTTACCAAGCAGTTGCCTATGTTTGTTTTTATTTCAGAAACTAAGTCAATAAAAGCAGCGGTGGAAAGGGTGAGAATAAGGATGGGATTTGAAGGGTTATTTGTGGTGGATAAGGTCGGAAGGGGGGGTGGCCTTGCATTGTTTTGGAGGGAGCGTGACATGGCGACGTTGCTGGGGTATTCGGGGAACCATATTGACGTGTTGGTTAATCTTCCGGGGCAGGAGCCGTGGCGCCTAACCTGCTTTTATGGTTTCCCTGACCAAGTTGACAGACATTTATCATGGGATTTATTAAGGGATCTTAAGGTACGATCAAGGCTACCGTGGGCAGTCATTAGGGATTTTAACGACTTAGCGAGTCATACAGAGAAGTGGGGTGGCAGTGTACATTCAGATAGGTTAATTCGGGGTTTCAACGCAGCGTTGCGTGATTGCGGGCTTAATGATATGGGAATGGAAGGGCATGAGTTCACTTGGGAGAAGGGGAAGGGAACGGAGCGTTGGGTGCAAGAACGGTTGGACAGGGCTGTGGCAACGACTGAGTGGTGTGCTATGTTTTCAGAGGCAATAGTTAGGAACCTCATTACTATTAACTCTGATCATAGCGCCATAATTCTAGACCTAGTAGTAAGGCCTATCCGTCAGGTAATCAGGAGGTTCAAGTTTGAATCTGGTTGGTTACTGGATGGGGAGTGTCGGCAGGTGGTAGAGCAGTCCTGGGCTATGACGAGAGGGAGGACATTCATGCAACGTATACAGCAGTGTGGTGTGGATTTGTTCCGTTGGGGTGGGGATTACTTTGTGAAGTTTGGGTGGAGGATACAGCGCCTGAGGGCAAAGCTGGAGCGCTTGCGTAGTAGCCGTGTGCAACATGATGTTAACCTTTATGTGCGGTTAGAGAAGGAGTTGTCTGGTTTGTTAGCGCAGGAAGAGGTTTATTGGAGATAGAGAGCAAATCAGTTGTGGCTTAAGGATGGCGATAGGAACACGCGATACTTTCATAAATCTGCTTCGAGTAGGCGCAGAATAAATGAGTTAAGGAGGTTGAGGGACCCCGAGGGCGTGTGGCTCGAGGGTACGGCTATGGCCCCGGAAGTAATAAGATATTATACTGATATCTTTCATGCATCTGCTACGAGTGGAAATTTGTTGCATCGGGTACAGGGCCGCGTAACGGATGAAATGAATGGCCGGTTAATGGCGCCGGTAATTCCTGAAGAAGTAAAAGATGCGGTTTTCTCAATGGCTCCGGAAAAAGCTCCGGGCCCGGATGGTATGTGCCCTTCCTTTTATCAAAGTTTTTGGTCTATAATTGGTAGGGACCTCACGGATTTTGTGATAAGTTGTATAGATGGCTGTTATTTCCCAACAGCTCTAAACAACACTAATGTGGTTTTAATCCCGAAGAAGAAAACCCCCGAGACTGTCGTGGATCTCCGGCCTATAGCCCTTTGCAACGTGGCCTATAAGGTCATTGCAAAAGTTGTTGCTAACCGAATGAAAATGGTGTTGGACCAGGTTGTTTCACCCAGTCAGAGTGCTTTTGTGCCTACTAGGTTGTTAACAGATAATATATTAGTGGCGGGGGAGATTGGCCATTATCTAAGGCGTAAAAGAGAGGGTGTTGTGGGATGGGCTGCTTTGAAGCTGGATATGGCGAAAGCCTACGATCGGATGGAGTGGGGTTATCTGGAGGGTATGTTGCTGGCATTAGGGTTCGCCCGTGGGTGGGTTGACCTTGTAATGCTTTGTGTTAGCTCCGTTCGGTATAATATTCTGTTAAATGGTGCTGAGGCAGGTTCGGTGGTCCCCACTAGGGGCATTAGGCAAGGTGATCTGATATCGCCATACTTGTTTATAGTTTGTGCTGAAGGGTTGTCTTTGATCTTGCAGCAGGTAGAGGCGAGTGGAGCAATACATGGTGTGCGTGTGGCTCGGGGGGCACCATCTGTCTCTCATTTATTCTTCGCGGATGATAGCTTGCTCTTTTTTAGAGCCATTGGGACCGAAGCCATCGAGGTTAAGAATTGCTTACAGGCTTATTGTGCAGCTTCAGGTCAGGCTATCAATTTTGGTAAGTTCAGCATCTTGTTTAATCATAACACAACTATTCATATGAGGGATCATGTGGCCGGTATTTTTGGTGTCCAAATTGTCCAGCACTTTGGGAATTACTTGGGGTTGCCGTCTTTTCTGGGGGCGTGATAAGAGGTCAGTGTTCCGCTATATAGAGCAACGGGTGAGGGATAGGGTTTCTGCATGGCAAAAGAAACTGCTGTCCAAGGCGGGGAAGGAGGTTTTGTTGAAGAGTGTTGCATCATCAATGCCGATTTTTGCTATGTCTGTCTTTCTATTGCCCAGAGCGACTTGTAATGCTATTGAGAGTACTATGAGTAACTTTTGGTGGGGGAGTGGGGAGTCCGATAGGAGGGGGATTCATTGGTTAAGTTGGGCACGGTTGGCCAAGCCGAAACACTTAGGGGGGATGGGGTTCAAGAGAATGCATGAGTTTAATGTGGCTTTATTGGCTAAGCAGGGTTGGCGTATTCTCACCTCTCTAAACTCTCTTGTATGCAGGGTTTTCAAAGCAAAGTACTTCCCTAATGGGGGCTTTCTTTCGGCTTCATTGGGTCATAATCCCAGCTACTTATGGAGAAGCATTGTGGCTGCACAGAATCTGCTGAGGGATGGGGTGGGTAGAAGGATTGGGAATGGAAGGGACACATTCGTTTGGGGTGATTGTTGGTTGGCGGATGTGGAGAATCCAAAGCTGGACACGGAATGTTATGAGGAGTTGAGATATGTCACGGTGTCTAACCTCATGTCTAATGACGGTTTATGGGACCAAGACTTGCTGAGGGATCTTTTGCTGCCTACAGATGTTGATAGGGTCTTGGCTACGCCGGTGGCATTGGATAAATGTGATGTATGGTACTGGAGAAACGACATACGGGGCCAATATACGGTGAAGCATGGGTACAGGCTCCTAACCGAGAGCAGTGTTTTAACGCATGTGCCTAGTCTTGTCTCTTGGCATAAGTTGTGGCGGCTAAAGGTGCCACCGAAGGTTAGGGTATTCTTGTGGCGGTGCATAAGGGGGATCTTGCCTGTGAAAGAGGTTCTGAAAGAGAAGAGGGTGTTTATTGGGGGTGGTTGTCCGCTGTGACCAGCTAGGGAGGAAACCATTTCTCATATTTTATGTGATTGTCCTATGGCTCTTCAACTATGGGGTGTCACTAATTTATTGAATGGTAGGAGTGTGGCACGGTTTGTGGACTTGTTTTTGAATGATCAAGATGAATTGCAGGCAGTGCTTATGGCGGCAAGGCTGTGGGTTATGTGGAAGGTTAGAAATGATGTGGTGTGGAATGGTATTCAATGGACTATGACGCAGCTTCATAATTATGTTGCAAGTGAGGTAGGAGCATGGGATTGTTTGGCAGCCTCTTTTTTGAATCAACAACACGTTACTGCTCATGTTTGGTGGCGCCACCAGAGGGTGCATTAAAATGTAATATAGATGCTGCAATACATGGGGGTTTTGCGACGTTTGGGGTGGTGCTAAGAGATCATAACGGTGGTTTTATTGCAGCTTATGCCGGGAGGTTACCAGGTGTGACACAAGCTTATCTTGCCGAGGCCCTAGCATTCAAGGAGGCTCTATCTTGGTTGAAGAATCGTCCCATGAATGTCTATTTTGTTGATTTAGATTGTTTGAATTTGTGCATTAATTTTAATTCAAACTATCTCGATTTGTCTTATGTTGGTATGATAGTTAAGCAATGTAGAGTCATTGCAACTGACATTGGGAATGTCCGGGTTCGCCATGTCAGGAGGTCAGCGAACCGTGTAGCTCATGTGTTAGCTCGAGTGACAGGTTCACACTCTGGTCTTGCCGTGTGGGAGACTATCCCACCACCTTGTATTGCGGTTTTGCTTTGAGTAATTTTACGAGTTTCCTTTCAAAAAAAAAAAAAACGTGAATATACTTTTTTTTTAGAACCATGTGATTATGTGAATATACCTTAAAGGGGTTTGTGGTGCTTGTTCTGCTTTTGAGTGAGTAAATGAGCATTAATTTCCCACTTTAAGCACGATTACATATCAACTTTTTCTATTACATTTTGAACTTTGTGTGGTTTGCACTTTCCAATGTGCAGAATTTAATAATACACCTACATGCTTCCATCTTATTACTGCTAATTAACTTACTTTTTGGACTGTCATGAGTTTTGCATTATTTTTCTACTTTATGATATTATTATTTTTTTATCGCACACGACATTATCAATATGTTTGTACTTTGTATAAAAGGAAACTATCTTAAATATATCGACTTGATCACAAATTAATAAATACTCGTAATTAAAGTCTTACATAATAATCAAATACTATAAAAAATAATTGGGAAAATGACACTTTTTCCCCCTGAGTTATATACCTATAGCATTTTTTTCCCCCTGAATTATTGAAGTGACTGTTTTTCCCCCTAAAATGTTAAATGGACATATTTACCCTTAAAATAAATATTTTATTTATTTTTTTTCTCCAACAAATTATGACCATAATTTGGTTCAAACCAAACAAACACTATAGCAACCAAATTGAAATATTCCAATTACAATTTAGAATCGAAACCCAATATTTAGAGTTTATTAAAATCGTGAATCGGAACGGACGGTTCATGTTCCGAATTGAAAAAATAAAATACATTTATTGTTCAATTTAGACTATTTTAAAATAAAAAATTAAATTTTAAAATAAAGACGGTTCAAAATCGCGAACCGGATCTGGAACCGCCGGTTCACGGTTCAAGATTTAATTTTTTTGATACATAATTTTAATAAATTGACATCTAAATATTGGGTTCTAGATCTGAATCATAACCGGAAACTTTTAATTCGATTGCTTTAGTGTCCGGTTCAGTTCAAACCGAACCGTGGTCATCCCTACGTATACGCAATAATTTGTTGGAGAAGTAAAATAAATAAAATGTTTACTTTAAGGGTAGAAATGTCAATTTAATATATCAGGGGGAAAAACACCACTTTTTAAATAATTGAGGGGATAATGTGTTTACCTAAATAATTGAGGGGAAAAAGTGCTATAAGTATATAACTCAAGGGGAAAAAGTGTCATTTTCCCAAAATAATTCAATACAATAATTACACTTCATGAGCAAATATTAGGGAGAATTTTAGTAGAAAAACGTAATATTAATTACTTTTGTTACTGATTATTGATCATGATTAAATAATTTATACTTATGAATTATGTATGAATAATCAATGATAAGGGTTTTAAGTTATTTATGAATTACTGATTTGGGTAAATTAAAGTATGTTTTATAATTCATATTCATAAATTTTATTAGTTAATCCATAGATAGTCTTTACATTTGTTTATCATTTTTCTTAGATTAAGTTAAAAAAAAAAGTTTTAAAAATAAGTTTTTAAAAGTAAAATATGAAATATTTAATATATAATTAATCTCTATCATGTGATTAAATAATATTTACCAATGGGCCCCACTGTCTTTCGATAGTTTCATTTTTCCAAAAGGCTGAATCTCAATTCTAAGGACCCCCACACCCCGATCCGACAAAAACTTTCGATAGTTTCATGCCCATGTTTGTTGAATAATTATACACATGCATAAATGAACAATTGATGGGAGCTGTACTTCATCTGCATGTCATGATAAACTGCAAATTATTCTGAGGAACATGGTTCAAATTATTGTCGTGAATATTATGAGTAAAAGTAATGTACATTATATGTTATAATTGTTGGGAATAACATTCAAATAAGTTATGTTGGAAAATGTACACTATATGTTAAAATAATGTATATTACGTATTAGAATAATATACATTATGTGTTAAAATAATGTATACTACACGTTAGAATAATGAAACATCTGATGTAATATAATATTCAAAGGGAGACCACAAGGACCTAAACCGATTTTATTTTTTTAAAAAAAATTAATTATAATTTTAATATAGTTTCTAAATATATAAATTTTACTCCGTATAAATTAACACCAAACTAAATATTACCAAATAAAAACAACTAAATTATAAATAACTTGAGTCAATCCTTGTTGCCAAATAGACACATAAAATGAAATAGACAAAGTCTCTATGAGTTCATTCTAATTTTGCTTATTTGATTATTACATGTTTAAAAAAATATTTTCAGCCATCATGTTCACAATTAATAAAATTTGATTTATAATTCAAATATATAGCAATTTTCTTTTCTTTTGTTAAATGATATATTTGAAAACTAAAATCGAACATTTTTATAATAATTTGAAACCAAAACTGATCGATTTTAGATGCCGGCTCTTCTTGTGGTTCTTGGTGCACGACAGACTTCTCACCAACATGGAAAGGGGGAGGAAGGGTTTGACCGTAGATTCCAGTTGCAAAGCTTGCGGAGGGGCTGAAGAAACGATGGTGCATATTCTAGTAGACTGCAACGTCGCTAAGGAGTGTTGGAGGAGGACGTACCACCCGGCTTCCTTCCGGTATAACACGATCATGAACCTGCATGCTTGGCTGAAGAAGAACTGCAACTCGACAGAATGGATAAATGGTGGTCCTTGGGGTGTCACCTTCATCTATTTTTGCTGGGAAATTTGGAAGGCTCGTAACACTCTTATTTTCGAAAACAACTTCACGGCTCCTATGGAGGTTATTGGCCGCTGACACGGTTGACGTGTTCGCCAAGTACTGCAACAAGGTGGGGAAGTTCAGATGGATCTCTTGGCACCCCCCAGAACCGGGGTGGATTAAAATAAACACCGATGGTGCTGCTAAGAGAAACACAAGCCTTGCAAGTGCAGGTGGCCTTGCTCGGGATCATAATGGAAGTTGGCTTTTCGGGTTCTTTACCAATATTGGAGTTTCGAACAGCTTTGTCGCAGAAATGTGGGGCCTAAGGGAGGGTCTACAGCTGGCAAAGGACAGGAGGGTTAGAAGGGTCGTCATGGAACTTGATTCAGAAGCTCTCGTGGCTGCCATGAGTGAAGATAAAATTGTTGAAGATTGCTCATCAACCTTGCTTAAAGACTGTCGAATCTTGGTCGCTAGCATGGATCATGTTACCTTCATACATACTTTACGGGAGGGGAACAAATGTGCTGACCATCTGGCAAATTTGGGACAAAACGCATAGTGGGGAACCACCTGGTTGGATCATCCGCCGCTAAGTTTAAATCCTCTTCTCGCAGCCGACGCCTTCGGGGCAAGCGCAGCTAGAGTTTGGTAGTTTGCTCTTTTCTTCCGTTGCTACGGGTCTTTTTTCCACCAAAAAAAAAAAAAAAAACTGAACGATTTTGAATTGGATAAGTAAAACCGAATCAAAACTAAAATTAAGTATGCATATTGAATTGAAGGCAACTAGTCATAGGGGTTTCATTTTTTTTTTCTTTTTCTTTTTTCCTGGCAATTTATATCGTGCACCAGGGCGCACATTGCATTGTGCGCCTCGGTGCAAAACGACGTCATTTTATACTTTTTTTTTTTGAAAATTTCGCTTTTCCGTGTTTATTGTTAGCTTGTTAAAAAAATTAATGTTTTTAAAATGTACATAATTGTATATTAAAATGTACATAATTGTATATGAGAATGTACATAATTGTACAACAGAATACACATAAACTTTTAACTGTTAAAAAAATCGCGTGTTCGAATGTATATAATTGTATAAAAAAATGTACATAATTGTATAAAAAATGTACATAATTGTATACCAGAATGTACATAATTGTATAACATAATGTACATAATTATATAACATAATACATATACACCCTGTCGCGTCGACTCCTCAACAACTTAACAAAACAATATCATTTTAGGAAGCGCGAAACACACATTACTATGTGCACCACAACCCGTGATGCAGGGTATAACGATTGTTTTCCCCTACAGTAACCCCAGTAATACTGGATCGAATTTTTTGTAATGGCTAAATATTCTTGTTATTCAGCACATGACTGTACTAGCTAGCACGAGCACGTGCACTGACATCGATCTCACACTTCAGCTGCCAACTCAATCTCATGTTATTGAGTTGGATGGCATGCAAGACATAGGAAGGTCATCCTTATTTTTGTAATACTCTCTCATTTTTTAAAGTGGACTCTATTTCTAA